AAGCATGCCCCAGCTCACGCAGTCAACAGTGGAGCTGGATTTTGACCAGGCACACTGGATCCAAAAGCCTGTGTGCTTTCCCGTGGGAGAAAGATTATCCAGGGAGGCCGTACCCAACCCTGGTGTGTAAGAGCCCATTAAAACTGGGTTTGAATCCTGGCTGTATCATAAACTCTGTGGTCTGGGCAAGTTGCTTAACCTCCCTGAACGGAGAGGACCCTTACCTCGTAGGATTACAGGGAGGGTTTGACACCAGGCCCGGGGTGAGGGGCGAGAGGAGGGTCGGAGAGGAGACGGTGGGAAGCGGATTGGGTGAAAGTCTGCAGAAACTAGGAGTGGGCCTGAGGGCATCTGCCCCCTGCCAGCAGGAGGCCTTCTTGGGAGTGGCCAGAGGGCAGGGCCAGAGCAGGCCGATTTGGAGATTTGGAGAACACTAGGAAGACACCAGTCCTGCTGGGTGGGGGTTGGGCGATGCTTAACAAGGTCCTGGACGTGGAGCGTGGGGAGAAGGGTGCAAAGCTGGCCTTCAGCCTGGCTGGAGCGGTGTCCCCACCCTCTGCTATCATCCTTTTGTCGTCCGTCCCTGGAGAGCTGCTTTCATCTGGCAGAGCCCCACTACCCGCCCTGGCATCCCACCCCCTGGCCCTCTCCCTACCATTAGGGCTCTCTTCCTGGTTCAAGAGGGGACATTACTTATTTCATTTCTGTGTATTTTGAATTCTGGAAGGAGATGGAATTTGAAGAGCCTGGCTGGTGCACGAATACAAAATAGAAGCCTCCGTCTGGGGAGATAACGGGAAAGACACATGAAGGGAGACAAGGAAAAAGAGCCTGGCAGTGCGGAGGGCCCGCGGGAGGAAGGCCCTCTGTGTACACTTGTCTGGGAGTAATTTGATGGGTTCAAGGTTCTAGGAGAATAAAGAAAGGTGTGATGATGCAAATGAAGTAAACCTGAGAATTCTGCCTCAGAGCAAGTAACCAGGCAGCCTTTGAAAAGTGGCTGCATGGAAAAAAAAAAAAAAAGTGGCTGCATGTTTTTCAGGTGATTGTCTAGAAGGTTGTCAGAGATTAAGAGTTTACATCTGGAGTTTTGACTAGGATGCCTTTCCCCTCCCCTCCCCTCCCCTCCCCTCCTTTCCTTTTCCTTCTCTCCTTCCTTTGTTTATTTCTGTTATTGTTATTATTATTATTTTTTTTTTTGCCAAGGACTTAGGACAACATTGGGGAAATTTTCTATCATCTTTCTTCTGCTTTTCCTCTTCACGTTCTTTCTTCCTTCTGGGGAATAAACAAGAGGCATTTCATTTCAGGGGTGACCTGGGCAGATTTTGGAAAGCATAGATGCATTGCAGAATCACCTATGTTTTCATCAAGTAAGCCCCGCGATAATCATCTCTAAGTAGTTGCAATCGTCATGTAAAAGGGCGCCTTCATGAAACGTATTTTATTTCTTGTCTCCATGAGTCACACTGACATGTTACTGGTTGTTCCTGCAGTCCTGGATAAAATTCATCAGTAATTCTCTCCAAGAATCACTCAGGCTATGTTCATTTATTTTACGTTTATATTCATTTAATAAAATTAGTTGCTCTATAGGTCTTAACCTAGGAATTCTTTCATTGTTGCTGTGGAAACCAGAATTAAAAATTGTGGGCCGAGAAAGAAAAATAGCTGGCACTGAACATCGTAAGATACACGAGAAGTGGTTTTTTAAATATAGAATTTTAAAAAATCATGATACCTGGAGCCAAGCTGAGACTATTGAACTAATCATATAACTGAAATCGTGAATAATTTTTCTCAAAAACACTTTAGAAAACAAATTGCTGTCTTAAAAATATTATTTTCACGGGACTTCCCTCGTGGTCCAGTGGTAAATAATCTGCCTTGCAATGCAGGGGACGGGGGTTCGATCCCCGGTCAGGGAACTAAGATCCCCCAGGCTGCGGGGCAGCTAAGCCCACGCACCACAACTACTGAGCTCGTGCGCCACAAACTGCAGAGCCCGCGCGCCACCACTAGAGAGAGAAAACCCCCTCACCCCAACCAGAGAGAAGCCCGTGCGCTGCAAGGAAAGATCCCGCATGCTCCAACTAAGGCCCGACACAGCCAAAAATAAATAATAAATAAATCTTTTAAAAAATATTACTTTCACCTGTAGCCACATTGGCACAGCTGCCAGGATAGCAGTGCTGCAGAATGAGCCCCAGGTCTTGGACCCCTGCCACCAGCTAATCCCTTTAAGTAGGAGCAGGAACTGGATGGCCCTGGCTGGGACACTGCAGGTTTAAATGGTGTCCCTGGGAAAGGAGATAAGAATGGGAGGAGGACCCCACTGCACCAGGCTGGGGGCAGTGGGCAGCCTGTTCTTTTTCTCAGAGGGACGGACAGGGTGTCCTGGGATGCGGTGAGGGGAGAGGAGGCCCAGGGCCACTGAGCACCAGCTGCGATCCTGGGGGGCAGTTATTTAGCCCTGGGTCCTGTGAGTGCGGCCACTGGCATTAGCTGTCACCTAGTGGTGTTTTTTTTTGTTTTTGTTTTTTAAAATTTTTATTGGAGTATAGTTGCTTGACAGTGTTGTGTTAGTTTCTGCTGTACAGCAAAGTGAATCAGCTATACATATACATATAGCCCCTCTTTTTTGGATTTCCTTCCGAGTGGTGTTTTTGTTTGTTTGTTTTTTGTTTGTTTTTGTTTTTGTTTTTGTTTTGCGGTACGAGGGCCTCTCACCATTGTGGCCTCTCCCGTTGCGGAGCACAGGCTCTGGACGCGCAGGCTCAGCGGCCATGGGTCACGGACCCAGCCGCTCCGCGGCACGTGGGATCTTCCCGGACCGGGTCACGAACCCGTGTCCCCTGCATCGGCAGGCGGACTCTCAACCACTGCACCACCAGGGAAGCCCCTTAGTGGTGTTTTTTAAAGTGCTTTTTTTCAGTTTGTTTCTTGTCTGCGGTTTTGGTCTTCTGTCTCACATCCCTAGTCATGAGAGTCCACGGGGACAGCTGAGTCAGGGTCCCATTGTGCTACTGAGAACAAAATGGGCTCAGAGAGGTTAAGAGATGGCCGGCCCACCTCCTCAGCATTGATCGAAGGACTCAGGCTGTCTTGCTTGCGTTTGGACGTGGATTCACACTCCCCCACCCCCCAGGTCTTTAACCGCATCCTGTTCCTTTGCATAAATTGTCTTTCATAGAATATTTTAGTTAGGGTGGGTAACTCTGTCCTATGATGTCAGGTCTGCCCAATTAAAATCTGCCCTATTAATTTTTAAAAATTTATTTCACAGATTTATTGAGGGCGCCCTATTAATTTTTTTTTTTTTTTTTTTTTGTGGTACATGGGCCTCTCACTGTTGTGACCTCTCCCGTCGTGGAGCACAGGCTCCGAGGCCATGGCTCACGGGCCTAGCCACTCTGCGGCATGTGGGATCTTCCCGGACTGGGGCACGAACCCGTGACCCCTGCATCGGCAGGCAGACTCTCAACCACTGTGCCACCAGGGAAGCCCCGCCCTATTAATTTTTGATACCATTTTTGTCCAAAAGAAGAAAAAAACCTGTGCTTCTGTGAAATCTGTTTTTCAAGTAATTCATTTATGTCTACTTGGAAATTACGTTAAGTTGCTTAATTATCAACCCTAAAACGGCAAGGCTTATGGACATAATGTGTCTTGACTCAAGCTGACCTGTTTTATGTGGGGATATATATATATATATATATATATA